CTTTTTTGGCCTGCTGTAATCCTTTAGTTTGTTTTGTAATTAAAAAAAACTATTTTTTCTTATTCGTAATATAAAAAATTGGTTAAATATTCTCACATACCAAGAAATAAAATACCTATGCATAGCCAAAAAAATGCTACTCCCTCCTGTTCATAATATAAGAAACTGATTAACTTTTCTTATGTACCAAAAAATAAAATACCTATGCATAGCAACAACCAAAAATTCCTACTCTCTCCAGTCCATAATATAAAAAGTTGGTTAACTTTTTTTAGATGCCAAGAAATAAAAGTTTAGTCATTAAATGTACCCTTAGAATGAAAAAGTTATCCTATTTTCCTGTTTTACACGTTGCGCAGTATTTTATTTTAATATTGTTGACTTTAATTAAAAGCCCTAAACCAACGGATCCTGTCATCCGGCATGGGATTGTGTGTCGGTTTAAACTTTAACGAGCTTGTTCCTTAAGGGCACTTGGATTCTCTTCATAAATGCGAAATAATTCTCACCTGTTGTATTCAAGTTAACCCTATGCAGTGGACAGTTCCGTTGATTTAGGAGTTTTTGGTTGGCAAGGATCTTGAAGTAAAATACTCCTCCGGTCATAAATATAAGACCCACTTTATAGTATAAATTATAATACAAAGTGTGTCTTATATTTAAGACTGGAGGAGTATTATGTGTGTGGATAACACAGTCAGTACTTATGTAGATTATTTTTAAGCATCTATTCAGGAGTTTGATCCCTGGCGTGTGTATGGAGAAGGTCTCATGATCAGCACTAAAGCACAGTGTGAGCATATTAGTCACTTCTACTGGCATAGATACCATGAGCTCAACAAAAGAAAAAAAAATTATGCATGTGGTCTTAAAAAAGTTATGCATGTCCTCCTCGACCATGTCATATGTAAGTTAGTTTGGATCTATATTAATTAGGAAAAAAAAGCAGTTGAGAGTGATTTGGAGGAAGAGAAATAAAAAATAATACTCCTTCTAGTCTTAAATATAAGACCCATTTTGCAGTGTAATTTATACTCCAAAATGAGTATTATATATTTAGGACTAGAGGAGTATAACACATCACTCTAATTATTGCATATCATGTTATATACCATCTGAAAGTAATTGATCCGAATACATATCGAATCTTACAACACATGACAACATTAAAAGATTGCGAATATATTTTGTCTAGCCTGGAGTAATTTGTGAAGAATGAAATAAAGGATTTTTCATCTTAACAAAGTGCGACGCCAATCCATAAGGCCAACAAGTGTATAAAGGATATATTTTTTTTAATATTTTTTTGAATGACAAGCGGTTTGACATAAAAATGGAAAAAATGAAAAAATAAATTAAATATTCAAATATCTCCAAAGTATACTCCTTCCATCCCTTATTAGAAGATCCTTTTAACTAAATTGCATGATTTAAAAAAATGATTAAAATTAGTTAAAAGCAATTAATATGTAGCAAATATAATTTTTTCCAAATATACCCCTATATAAAAATAGATAAATGTGAGAGAGTAATAGCGAGATAAATAAAAAAAGAGAATGTATTAAATGGATTAAACTAGGGGTAAAATTAGTAATATGTATTAAATGCTCAGACAAACTTAAAGAGAATCTTATAAAGAGAGCTAGACCCATTTAAAAAATTGGATCTTTTAATAAGGGATGGAGGGAGTAGCTTATAAAAAAAGACCATATCTATTCAAGAAATTAAAGTTTATATAAATAACTGGAGGGAGGATTCTCTTTTTGCATTCATTCTCTCTCACATTCCCACCCACATTTTTCATAAATAAAGAATGCTTTTGGCAAATAAATTATATTTTTTTATACATATTTATTACTTTTAACTAATGTTAACCAGCTTTTTAATCTACAGTTATTTGTATCTTATATATATAAAAAAAGAATATATTTCTCAACTTATAATTAGTTCTCCTCCCCACTTAATGAAGTTCATAACCTTCTCTATCCTCCCCTCCATATTGAACCAAACAGAGCCTTTGGTGAGAGAGAGGGAGTAAGTTGCTGCAAATAATCTTCCAAGTTCCATCGTCTTTGTTGTCATCTGAGACATACAGCTCAGGACGAGGGAAGTCGCGACAGCAGTTAAGGCAAAGCATTACATGTTGCGACCCCCCCCCCCCCCAAAAAAAAACATACAAACGTGAACAAAAGAAAAAGTAGACAAAAACAATGACTGAAAGTGCCGTGCTAACAAACAATTTTTTTCCATCACTAACTAAATTAGCAACGGATTACAAATATTTTTATTTGTAATTAAATATTAACCGAATTTTTATTTGTAATAACTAATGAAATGTAGTTAATACACAAACAAAGTTGTGAATGACATGAGTGACCTTATTACTTACTATACGAAAGTTGTTAATAACTGATGAAATGTAGTTAATATATAAACAAAAGTTGTGAATGACCCTGAAAGAGTGATCTTGTTGCTTGTTAAACGAAATTGTTCGTAGATAATAAAATGTGATCATTACCTCAATGAAAGTTGTGAATGACAAGAAAAAATGGCTTTGTCATTCTTTCAAACTTGCAGTGTTATGCGCCTCCTATGGGTTCCTTTAGGTTTGTTGTTTCAGTTCCGTATGTTTGGGCTATGTTTCTATTGTTGTGCACAATGGGCCTCTAATTTTCATGTTGATGCATGGGTAATTGGGGATCCTTTCTTTGCCTGATGTAATCCTTTAGTTTGGTTCATAATTGAAGAAAAAAAAATACTACTTCTGATTCATAATATAAAAAATTAGTTGACTTTTCTTACATATTAAGAAATAAAATACCTACATGTAGCCCAAAAAAAAAACACTACACCTCTTGGTTTATAATATAAAAAATTGGTTAACTTTTCTCATATGCCAAGGAAAAAAAATGCCCATGCATAGCCAAAAAAACAAAAGAAAAAACTCCTTTTAGTCCCTAATATAAGAAATTGGTTAACTTTTTTCACATACTGAGAAATGAAAATTTAGTCATTAAATTTATCATAAAATGATAAAGTTTTCCTATTTTCCTATTTTATACGTTGCACAGTATTTTATTTTAACATTTTTTGTTGGGTCAAATATTTTAATATTGTTGACTTCAATTAAAAGCTCTGAATCAACGGATGTCCCCCCGCATAGGATTGTGTTTGAGTTTAACGTGCTTGTCCCTTAAGGGCATTTGGATTCTCTTCATAAATGCGAATTAATTCTCACTTGTTGTATTGAGGTTAACCCTATGCGGTTGACAGTTCCGTTGTTTTAGGAGTTATCAGTTGACACGAATCTGGCAGTAAAATATTACTCCTCTGGTTTTATTTATATGGCAGAGAAAGAAGACATTTTTTTGTACTATTTATAAGGCATTGAGAGGAATTTTTGGTATGAATGTATAATTTTACCCTTAATTTGTTATGGTTTTGACTTTGTTTATATGAGGTATAATGTATATTAAATAGGGATAAAGTTGAAAAGTTGTAAAATTTCAAATGAGAATTAATAAAGTTTAAAATTTTTCTTAGTTTGTGTGAAACATATTAGAAATAATTTATAAATAGGACCAGAGAAGTATGCATGTGGGTAGCACAGTTAGCATTTATCTAGGTTCCTTAAACATCTAGTCAGGGGTTTAATCCCTACAGTGTGTACAGTGTGTATGGAAAGGGTCTCATGATCAGCACTAAAACACAGTGTAAGGGGATTAGTCACTTTTATTGGCATAGATACCGTGAGCTTAACCAAAAAAATTTAAAAAAATGCATGTGGTCTTAAAAAAATTATGCATGTCCTCCTCGACGAACTCATGTGCAAGTTAGTTTGGATCTATATTAATTTAAAAAAAATAAAGCAGTTGAGAGTGAGTTGGAGGAAGAGAAACACTCTAATTATTGCATATCATGTTATATACCATATGAACGTAATTGATCCGAATACATATTTGATCTTACAACACATGACAACATGAAAAGATTGAGAATATATTTTGCCTGCTGTAATGACATTGGATTTTTACCCAACTTTTGTCTCTCGCCTGGTGTAATTTGTGAAGAATGAAATAAAGGATTGTTAATCTTAACAAAGTGCGATGCCAATCCCCAAGCCCAACAAGTGTATAAGGGATGTATTTTACTTCATATTTTTTTGAATGACAAGCGGTTTGACATACAAATGGAAAAATGAAAAATGAATTAAATATTCAAATATCTCCAAATGTAGCTTATAATAAAAAGACCACATCTATTCAAGAAATTAAAGTTTATAAAAAGAACCGGAGGGAGGATTTTCTTTGAAGTAAATTACTCCCCCTTTTTTGCTGCCCTGGCCGAACTTCTGTACAGAGAGAAAAATTATTTTTGGAAGTCCCCTGACTCCACCCATGGAATTAGGAAAAAGGGAAGGAGATTCTTGTCAAATTCATTGTTGGTTGTGTCTCTTGATCAATTGTATAAGAACTTATGAATTATTTCGAAGGAAATGATTACTAAACATTAGTGATTCACAAGATGCTTTGTAGGAAAGAGTCTCAGGGGCTGTTTGGAAGAAAACCAAATCATAGTTTTAAAAATAATTTTATGATATATGAAGTAAATATATAATAAAAGTTTTGTCTTTGTTTGAGTAAAAGTACTTTTTAAAAAGTAATTTTTGTGATTACCAAACATCCGGTTACTATTAAGAGCAAGGCAAAAAGAGGAAATCAATTTCATTTGAAATACTTGGAAAAAGATCAGGATCCTAAACTTTTCGCATCATAATATATAAAACATGTCACTCAAGTTTATTCTGTCATTTGCATGTCTTTAGTTCAATTTGATCTCAAAATCACTTGCGTTGGACTAGTTAAGATTTATTTGGGTTACAATTTTAATACTTAGAAATTATTAATTCACGTATAAACAACATCAAGTTTTCATAACAGATTACTTACTTACCTTCATGTTTTATCAGCGCGCTCTGATTCAATATGAAGATCAGAAGGAGAAGTAAATATATACAGAGGGAGAGCTTTCATTCTTAATTAAACATACGTAAGCTTTATTCCACGGCACACATAACTATATATCGCCACCAGACTCATTTATTCCATGGAAGATCATTTGCCATTTATTTATACCCGATACAAGCATGGTACAACACCTAACTGGTGTCTTTCACACAGCTTTATATTGCCTGGCTTCGTATACTGTTCCTGGAGGGCGTGCTTCATATGGAAGTGACAAGCTTCAGGGCAGGTTCTTCTTTCTTCCCCTTGGTTGGGTATGCGCCAGAACACTTTATGTTACATACACCCCGAGTAGCACCGGTGTTTCTTTTGATGAGTATGTAACCACTTTGTCCCCAAGTGGAACCCCATGAGTTTTTAACGATCCAGTAATCTTGACCATCACTGGTTGAACCATATCCTACGATTAATACAGCATGATTATGTTTGCATGATGAACTGATGCCTGAGCAATCGTCTCCATTAAAGATTCCCTGTCACAGTAATTACTTTTCAAATGTGTTTTGTTGGATGGCAGAGATATGATGATGAGGTAATCAAAATATGACTTACACTTTTGTAGGACATAAAATGTGAGCTTGCATATATGGAAACACTAACGGGTTGCTTGTAAACATAACAACGGAGGGCACTTTCAGATATAGGTTTGAGAGCCCAATAATTATAGCCATCGATAGTAGCGATTGTGTTTGCAGCCTGCATCAAAGTAAAATAAGAATAAGAGTAAACCATAATTAAAAAAATTACATATATTTAAACTACCCAATTAGTTCACACAGGTCTAAACACTAACCGCTGCAGAATTGCAAGCACTATCGTCAGCTGTATATGGATAAGCTTTTTCTGAGGCAATACCACCATTCTTGATGACATGTTTAAATCCATTAACGTACCACCCTCCTTTGCAGCCTTGACTTGTAGAGCAAGATATGAGTTGCTGTTCAGAAAGTTCTGGAAGCGATTGAGACACTATCTTATTTATGCCTTCCATAGCTCCGGTCGCAGAGAATGCCCAACAACCACCTACAAAAATGAATTTCATTTGTTATTATATGCTTCTATTATATGCTGCAATTAGATTATAACAGAAGAACGAAGCAAATTTGAACTTACCACATTCGCCTTGGTCTTTAACATAAGTTACAGCTCCTTCGGTCCTCCAATCCCAAGAAGAGGGTGCATCTGGACATGATGCGTCGTTCAATATCATGTTGCTGTTGTTCATTTCCATTATGGGTTCCTCTGTCTCATGCAAGTAGATTTTGCTGAACTCTTCGTACGTCATATCTGAGAATTTGTTCAAACCCAAGCTATAGTCACTGGGTGACTTCCTTTCGGCATTTTTCTCTCTGATCTCTTTCAAATTGCTTTTGAAGATTTGAAATCTTACCACTTCCTCTCCTAAGGTTTGGTATTCTCGTCCAGTCTCCTTCTTCCAGATTTGGAATAGATGGAACACTTGTTTGTCGGAAATGAACTTGTCCAGATCTAGGTCCGAAATGGTATACCTATCAGGCACACTGGAAGAAGAGGTAAGAGAAATGGAAGCATACCAAACCAGGAAAAGGAGGAAGATTTTAGCAGCAAGCGAACTCATTGTGCACTAGAAGGTGATAGATATTGAGCCAAGCGTTTGGATTGTGCATGCTTCTTGCATAGCATTATTGTTCCTTATATATTGAGGCGGCTACGTACAGTGCCTTCATCACAGCTGACTTTTATTAAATGCTACATGATTGAGGATGAAAGTAAGGACGAGGAAACGTGAGACACGAGTGGTAGGCTTTGGCAGATTCTGCAAATGCGATAGGTATAGTGTCCCTAATTCCACAATAATTTCCATAAAGCCAAGCTACGTGTTCTTGTACTTTCTCCTGCCGAAAATGATGGGGATTGCAACCTCCGAAATGTTTAAAATTTAATTACTTGTATGTCGGCGCCAGTCTGAAGATTTGGAAACAAAAAATACGGCTGCCCCAAAAAAATGGTAAGAAGTATATTCGTAATTTTCATTATGCTTACTAATACTATAATATAATGACAGATATGTACAGTGGGAGAAGAAAAGATAACATGTACGTTGTCTGCTCTCATAAACAAAGTGTCATGCGAATCAAACTCAACAAAAGCATAAAGGATGTCTTGTTCTTAGCTTTTTTTCTTTTATATATAGAGGCAGCTACGTACAGTCCCTTCATCACAGCTCACTTTTATTAAATATTCATCTAGTCGTTAATGTAGGACGTAATTGAAGAGTTGATATTGCTCTTTTATGTAAGACCTATTTCCTATCTTTATCATTTTTTTTTTCAAATTAATCATATTGATATTCCCTCAATAATAAACAAATAGGAGAAGGAAGGAGGGAATTAAGAAATATGCTTGAGGTGTTTTAGAAAAAAAACATATCATATGAACTAATTTAATTAACATTTTTAATTTATTTAAATTAGTTAATGAGGTTTTATATCAAGAATCGGAGGAATACTACATGATTGATTGAGGGGGGAAAGTACTTAAGGATGAGGGATTAATTGTGAAACACGAGTGATTTTGGCAGATTCTGCAAATGCCATAGGTATAGTGTCCCCACTTCCACAATAATTTCCATAACGCCAAGCCTCTTTTGCTTTCACCTGTCGAAAATAATTTTTTAAAAAAATGATAAGATGCTTGACACACACACACACACATATTGTAATTTCAGATGTGTCCTTGTCCTACGCAAAACGATAAGGAGACGCATCGTTTACATCTGAGGAAAAGAATTTGTCCAATTCCGTTATTGTCCTCTTTCTTCCCCTCCTTTATCCTTACTGTTAAATTAACTTTGAATGGTTAAAATTTGATATCTTATAAAAAGTAAAAAAAAGATATATAAAATATTTTAATAAAAATATACAAACTATTTAAATCAAATTTAATTTAAATTTATTTATATGCTTTTTCGTTAATTGATACTAAAATAATAGTTTTGGAAGATATAAAATATAAGACAATATTTACATTAAGTTCTTTATATTTATTATATCAAATTATTCAATCACACATGATCATGTGCCCTATTTTTGAAATATCAATATTTTAATAGCATTTAATTATAAATCGCACGAAACAAAAGATAACATGTGGCGACATAAAGAACATAAGTAATTTGACCTAAGTTTTCTTCTTAAATATAAATTGTTGAAAGCCAATCTAACGATGAGAATAAAAAAAAAAAAAAAAAGGGCAGTGGAAGCTAATCACAATGAAAGCGGAGAGGTTCCCTTCTCCCCCCCTCAATCATGCCTCACGGGAACACCGGTCATCATTGCTTTAGCCGGCATCATGGCCGTCTATTTTACCAATTTATGAAACAATTTTGTGACATTTCTTCCCCAAAAAAAAGGACTCAGCAAGAAGCTTCAAACATTTTTTGGACAGGCTAAATTAAATTTGGACGATTTAAATTTTACTATTGTGTTTTTATAAGTTAATATATAACTTTTTTTTTTCATAAATTGATTGTTGTGATATCGATTTGATATTATTTTATCTTCTGTAATGAAAATATTCCTAAAATTCAAATAAATTCTAAATCGTCATCATTATCCCAATTAAAATTCTCCTAAAATATCTTGCGCCACTTGACTGAATGGTCCCGTTTAGTACAACGTGAAAAATGAGGGATAAGGATTGGGATTGGAATTAAGAAAAATCATTAAAGAGTATTAAGCAGGAACCAGTTTCAGTACTCATTACTTTGATGAGCACTCTAAGCTCATCAGATCTTGATTATTTATACTACTATCTTATTTGCATGGTCCAAATGTGATTTCTTTTTTATTTTTATTTGTTTAAAATAATTATTTTAATATGTGTAGAATCTAAAATAGAGATAATCTCTTAACTATCATTTTTTTCAAAAAATAATTTTTCTATAAAAATAGTTAATTAAAATTTTTAAATCTAAACCGTTCAAATCACATATAGACGGTCCAGATTTGATGAGTTTAGGGTTTTTATCAAGATAATGAGCACTGAAACTGGTTTTGTATTTAGCATAAGTAATTTCTTATTATATGGGATTAAACCTCATGTAGGTAGGATTAAAAAATACCACTTCCCTCATTTTATTTTCCAATCTTACATAAATAGATTTGCCCAATCTTAAATAACAAGCAATCACTCATTAAATTTTTTTTTGGGTGAAAGTACGGGGCTAAAGCCCTTCTAATTATTTCAGAGCCTTACGTGGGTAAGCAATCCCCACATTATCCCAGTACAAAAATAAGGACAGCTTTTGGGGTGGTTTCTCATAAAATGTCACCACATCCCTCTGCTGAAAAGCTTATATTAGCAAGACAATCAGCACAACAATTGCCCTCTCTATACACATACTGTATCCTAACCTGATAAAAAAAACTCAATTTTTTCTTTACAATTTTTAACAAAGCAGAATTGACATAATACTCATCCTTAATCCTATTTAATATGTTAACAACAGCCAAAGAATCACTCTCCTCAATTAACCATCGACAATCAAGAGTGGCCGCAACCGGCAAACCTGTAATAATGCCCCATAATCATATTAAACATTCTTTTAACAATTAAAATTCTCCTAAAATATCTTGTGCCAATTATTTTATCTTCCGTAATGAAAATATTGCTAAAATTCAAATAAATTCTAAATTGCTATCATTGTCCCAATTAAAATTCTGCTAAAATATATTGTGCCGCTGGAATAAATGGTCCCGTTTAATACGTGATTAAAAATAAGGTACAAGGATTGGGATTAGAATTGAGAAAAAACCATTAAAGAGCATTTAGCATAAGTAATTTCTTGTTATATGGGATTAAATTCCAAGTAGGTGGGATTGGAAAATACTACCACCTTTCTCATAGCATTCCCCAATTCCATATATATGAGTTTGTCCAATCCTAAATAATAAGTAATCACTCATACTAAATTTTTTTTTAATAAAATTTTTTAATCTCAATCTCAATCCTTATCCTTTTTTTAATATTATGTACCAAACGGGAGTAACAGTCTTGGACAAACCCGAGATATCTTTAATGTATTCATTTCTTAACTCTTTACTTTACTCAAACATACTTTTATGACATAATAAAATAAGGAAGAATTACAATGAGGTCCCAAGCAAGAAAAATAATTAAAAATAAGTCCCCGAGGTTGTCATTCTCACTATAGGACTTGTTATTATATATTGTTGGAATTGTTATTGGAACCTTTCGGTGATTATTTCTCTTCTGTGAGACTTGATTGTAATTCTCCCATAAGCAGAGCATGTGGAATAAGGGAGACTGGTGACCGATCATGTGTCCAAACAATTATATATAAAAAAACAAGGATGGCGCTTCATTATATATATAATGACAAGGATTGCTTTCCATCACATCTTATAAATATAATGGTTTTCGTACATGCATGTTCATTAGCAAAAGCTTTTTTTAAAAAAAAAACTACTTTTTAAATTTCAAAAACCAAAATAGAATATCTCGAACTTCAAAATTCCAAATAAGTACTTATGACTAAAATGAAAATCTGCAATATTGCTAAATTATAATAGGGAGAATTACTGTAAGGAATAAATTTAATTATTAAAAAAATTCTAGTAATAACAAGTGACTAACCTAAACCTGTTGTCATTCTCTATTTTAAAATTTGTAATTGTTTACTCTTCACTTATCAATAAACATTAAGGTAATTAAATCCCTTGTTTATGATCTTATTGTAATCCACTATGATATGGCCCTTGTAATGAGTTTAACAACTTTATCAATGTCATTTACAATTTACAAATTCAACATTTGGAAAAATACAAGTGAAAAGGCCTTGTTATAAATCATTTACTACATTACTAATGACATTTATAACATTTCAATATAGACTTTCACCATTTCACCAATATTATTTCCAACACCTCTTTTGCACCATGACCCTCTTATTCGTATAATTTTTTCGGTTGACATTGTAAAAAAGAATTTTTGTAAATAGTGTTGATAAAGTGATGAAATAAAGTGTTATTAAAACTGTTGGTAGTATATTAAATGGTTCAAATCATGATCTTCCAGCATATTTTCAAAATTTTAAAATTATAAAAAAAAAAGAATTTCATATGCATAGAGTTACTACTTATGACAACGCACCCCGCAAGTCACGGGCGACCTCTGGGAAGTATCAAACATGATAGAAGAGGTGGGTCCAACGATCAAAAGTGGGGACCACAGACTAAAATAAGTGATTTTTAAGCTTTCCACATCCACCCACCCAGCGACCGCCCATCCAAATGCCCAAAAAATGAAGGAGACGGATATTTCTGAAAGTGCCACGCGCGCAAACGATTATTATGTACCAAAAAAAAAATTCCATCACATGCTATAGCCCATATCTAAAAAGTAAAATAACAGCCTTTCATCTGGCGGCTTCGGTACATCCAACATTTTCATATGTTTTGATATCTTAATTTTATTTATGATTTTATTTATGACGTATCTAGGAATCATAAATAAAATTAAAATATTAAATATAATTAAAAAAATTGTATTAGAAAAATAATATATGAGTGTTATATGCTATTTTATCCTATATATAATAGTTTATGTAAAGACATGTTTATTATTGGGTTACTATAGTGTTTGGTCATTATAGTTTATATTACTCTTATTTTGATTTTAATATTTATAAATTCAAATAATAGTTTTTTTAGCCTCTCAATAAATAAAGTAGTTTAAAATTTTAATTAAAATATAAGAATTAATGTTTTAGAATGATGGTACTTAAGAACTAAAATTTATAATTTGAAACTAAAAATAATAAAATCAAAATAAAGACCAACTATAACAATGAAACATTATATTATTTTATTATCGTGTACATTGTTATTGTATTACAACATGCTTTAAAACAAGATTTCAGATATGATTTTATAGAATGCAATATAAATATATCTATAAAAATTTTATTTCAATTTATATGAAAGTACTTTTTAACCAAATACCCCTTAATTCCTTAGTCGTTATCCCAACTCAATTATTATTGTAGCTCAATATTATATAATATCATTTACTAAAAAAACATTCCACGCGGGGACCGGAATTGAAAGGACCCCGCGGACAAATAATAATTATATAGATGGATGAAAAAAGATTCCATATGATGGTTTTCGTACACACATTGGAGAATTTATTATTTGGGCTAATATAAATTTTGTTCCATCAACCTTATCCTCATTTTGATTTTAATGTCTTAAGTTTCAAACTATAAGTTTTGGTCCCTCAAATTTCTTTTTATTTAAAATATTAGTTTCTATAATCTAATAAAAATTTAGATAATTTTATTTCTCGAGGAATCTAAACCTATAATTTAAAATTTAAGGGACTAGAATCAAAATAATAACAAATTTAAAAGAACAAATGTTAACTTATCCCTTGTTGTTTTATATAGAGTTGTTGTTACCGCAATTATGTGCGTAATTTTGGGCTAGGCTTCTGTCTTCATTTTTTTTTTGTTGGCCCTCCGCTGCCATCTGCTGCCTTCTTCTTCTTATTTTTTTCATTTTCTTTCTCTTTCAACTCTGCACGAAACCTTGCCACGTTGCTTCTGCTGCCCTCTTTCTCCTTAAACACCTTATCCATGCTCCAAGGACAATATAACAAAATCCCGAAAAGAACATTTAAAGAAATTATTTTTTTGACCAAAAATTGATGTTATTGTTAACTCTTATCAGTTTTCCTCAGACCTCAATCATATTAGCCCCTGTACTCATAATTTATTAATTATGACCAATGTAAAGATGGATTATACAACATATAAGCTGCCGAAAAAAATACAAAATATAAAAAATATTACAACTTTTAGTCTTTAATATAAAAACTAAGCAACTAATTTATAAATATTAAGAAAATTAGTTAATTTAATTTTTTGGTCACAATTAGTTAAGTTAGTTATTTGCAACAAATAAATGTTGTTTGTCCTAAAATATCCTTGTTAATCATATGTATTAGAATGAAAACCCCTTGTCATGTACAATCATAATATGGACAACTTTGGGTTATTTAAAATTATAAAAAGATTAAACTGAATTTGAATCATCCAAGACTTTGGATGGTCTAGATTAAGATAAACATGATACTACCTCTGGTTCTAAACAAAAGAGCTTCTCAAAGATTTAATTTGAAGCTAAATACAAGATACCAATTCACTTTTGTCACCCATATTCATTCATTTTTTTCTAAATAGTTTCTATTATGATTGTACATGTTAATAGGTCTTTATTTTAATGCGTATTATTAACAAGGACTGAAAGTAGTACTCCTTTGATCTTAAATATAAGACCCTTGTACTAATATAAGGGTCTTATATTTAAGACCGAAGGAGTAATATTTTTTACATTTGGTATTTTTTTGGCAACTTAAATATTGAAATAGAACATGAGTATAGGATATTTATAATTGAGAACAACTGATAAGAGTTAACAATAAAATCCTTTTCTTTTCCTTTTGGTTTTTTTTGGGCTTTTGTTATTTTGTCCGTGGAGCATAGTCATGGATGAGGTGTTTACGTTAAAGAGAAAGAGGGAGAAAGAGGGATGAAGAGGCAGCGTGGCAAGGCTTGGCGGAGAGTTGAGAAAGAAAAAAATTTTTTTTTTTAAAAAAAAAGAGGGCAGCCGACAACTGCGAAGAGGGTAAAAAAGGGAGAGAAGCCTAGTCCACATAATTTTATACTTATTATTTTCATAGCCTTATAATTAGTCTAATGAGTGACATAATAATTAAATAAAAAAATTATATTATGCTATATAATAATATTTATATATAAAAATAAAACATCAAATTATTATATAACATGAAAATAAACTTAAGCAGTTCAATTTCACAATGATATTGTGTGCTCTATTTTTCACTCCCATTTGATTTTAGTTTTTCAAACTAAAATTTACTTTTGGGTTTTTCACTTCACATTTTGATAAATTAAAGTATAGATATACATAAGTATAAGTGGCACACATGGGTTATCATGGACTAATTATAAGAGAACAAAAGTTTAGAAAATACTACTTAGGAAATTAATTAAGACGGTAGTTAGTGTGGAACAAATGTATCTTGATTTCTTTAAACCATCCTCTTTAATTATGTGTAATGAAATTACTCCTTGACATATGCGATCAATATGAATATTTTGGGTTTAAAGTTATAAATTTGGGAAGGAACTAGATTGAACTTTTATATTTAGGGTTACTGTGAACCCCCTAATCTAAAGAATGAGTATAGAATATTGGGTTAAGGTGTATTTAACACCCTAAAATATTTGTTTAGGTGTATCTAACACTGTAAAGTATTTTATGGTGTATCCAATACTTTGAAGTATTTTTTTTAGATGCATCCAGTAGAGCTGGTAATACAAGCCAACCCACTAGTTATGGTTTGGCCCATAGTGGGCTCAAGGACCGATTGGCCGGTCCTAAAAGGACTGACTTTTGGCAAGCTAATATTTTACCAACCATGCTTGTCATAGTGGATTGGTGGGTTAGGCCTGCCAACCCGCCACTTTCTTTTTTTAAATTTTTTTTGCCTTTTGTTTCTTTTAATAAAATGTATTCCAATTCTTAAACACTAAAATAAAATATATAAATAGAAATTATCATAAATGAAATATGAAACCCAAAGTTCCAAACATTTCAAAATATTAAGCATATATGATACATCATTCTAAATGATTAAACATACATCCCAAATTAAAACATAACAAATCTAAATCAACAATAACACAAACATGAAGTTACAAATCACTATATGAGCCAACATTCAATGTTGATATAGTTCGAGGAATAATAGAAAGATGTGAAATTATTTGGTTGAGCTTGATAAGTAGAATCACGTTCTTTTTGCTCAACTAACTTTACTACAAATAAAATTCATAATGCCAAGTGAAAGATATATTACATTATGATAATTTTAAATAATGAGAATGAGATAAAGGGAGAAAAAATTTAAAATAAAATAAAATAAAACAGGCTGGCCTGCCATCCGTACGGGTTAGCTTGCTGTGGATTCAGTCTTGACAGTCATAGGCTCAAAATATCCGTTTTAAAACGAGCCTAATTTTTATCAACCCAACCCCTCACTTCTTGGCGGGTTAGACTCAACTTATATTAACATCTTTAGCATCCAACATTGCGAAGTATTTTGTGGTGCATTAGGCACCTTAAAGTATTTTGCTTGGTGCTCCTAGCACCCAAAATTATTTTTTGGTGCATCTAATACCAAGGCAAAAAAAAAAAACCTCAGGGGTGTTGGATGCACCTAAAAAATATTTCGAGGTGCTAGATATGCTTGAAAAAATATTTTAGGGTGTTGAATGCACTTTAACCCTAGGTTACTTAACAAAGTGTACTAATATCTAGGTGGCTAGGCAATGTTTAGGGTTATTGTCATTCACTTGGAGGGTCCTTATTCGCACTAACAAATAATATAGGGATGACGAGTTCAGTCTAATTGGGACTAGGAATGTTAACAGATTCATTCATCAAGGACATGCTCATCTCATCACATCAGACATCACTTACTCCATTGCATTCATTCATTAGTACTTTGAAGTAAACAAGGTTTAATTCAACTAGATAAAAGAAAAATGACAGAAAAATACTTATTAAAATTTAAAAAGACAAATAGGTCATGTTGACTACTCTTATAATGATTTTGACTACACTTATAATGGTTTTTACTTCAAAATTGGTTAAATTCATCTATTTGTCATTTCAAATTCCACAGGTATTTTTCGGTCAAGTTTTCTGGATAAAACCACCCATACACTCCTCAATTGTTAAATTGCTATGGATATTTTATTTATCTAGGAGCTTAGATAATAGGCTCCGTTTAGAGATCAGCTTAGATTAGTTACATTTCTACTTTAGAATTAATTTCACCCCTAAGGCAGCATGGACAGGAGATCAATGAAGTACACATATAGATCTTTCATTCTTGATCAAACATACATAGGCTTTATTCATGGCAAATCGTTTGCCATTTATTTATGCCCGAGACATGCATAGTACAACATAACTGCTGTATTTCGTACAGATATATATTGCTTAGATTTATTTATTATTGTGGGAGGGCATACTTCATATAGAAGCAGCAAGCTTCAAAACTGGTGTTTCTTTATTCCCTTTGATCGGGTATGCACCAGAACAATTTATGTTACATACTCCGTGAGCAGCACCACTGTTTCTTTTGATGAAGATGTAGCCACGTTGTCCCCAAGAGGGTCCCCATGAGTTCTTGACAATCCAATGGTCTTGATCATCACTGGTTGAACCGTATCCTACGATTAATACAGCATGATTGTGTTTACAGGAACCAATGCGTGAGCAATCGTTCCCGTTAAAGATTCCCTGCCAAAGTTAAGAAAACAACTGTTAATTACTTTTCAAATATGTCTTGTTGGATGGTAATGAAAATTTGACTTGCACCCCTGTAAGACTTGAAATGAGGGCTTGCATATAGAGAAACACTAATAGGTTGCTTGAAAACAAAACAACTGAGAGAACTTTCAGATACAGACGTGTGAAACCAATAATTATAGCTATCAATAGTAGCAAATTTCTTTTGTTCCTGCATCAAAATAAAATAACAATAATTAGAGTAAAACTAGAATTAAAAAAGATACATATATTTAAACTAGCCAATTAGTAGACACAAGTTTAGGCAGCAGATAAACACTAACCAGTGTGAAAAGCAAGCACTATCTTTAGCTTTATATGGATAATCCCCTTCTGACGCTATACCACGATTGTTGATGACGTATTGAAATGCATTACTGTACCATCCTCCATCACAGCCTTTGTCATTCTTATCACAAGATATGAGTTGTTGTTCAAAAAGAACTGGAAGCCATTGCTTAACTATTTTATTTATTCCTTCTATGGCTCCAGTTGCAGAGAATGCCCAACAACTACCTGTAAAAATGGATTTGATTTTGCTATCATTCTTTTCTTATGTGCTACTATTAGTTTACAATGAAAAAAATAAGTAAACTTAAACTTACCACATTTGCCTTGGTCTTTGACATAAGTTACAGCTCCTTTGGTCCTCCAATCCCAAGAAGAAGGTGCATTTGGACAGGCTGCATCATTCAATACCATTTTGCTGTTGTGGCTTCCCATTATGAGTTCCTCTATCTCATGTAAGTAGATTTTTCTGAACTCTTCGTAGCTCATATCTGAAAATTTGTTCAACCCTAGACGATACTCATAGGGTGACTTTCTTTTTGCATTTTCCTCTTTGATACTTTGCAAATTTCTTTTGAAAACCTGAAATCTCATCACCTCCTCTTCCAGGGTTTTGTATTCTCGTTCGGTCTCCTCCTTCCACATTTGGAACGGGTGGAAGATTTCTTTTTCAGAATTGAATTTCTCAAGATCTTGGTTCAGAATGGAATAACCACTAGGAACACCGAAAGAGAGACAAATGAGAGAATACCAGAGAAAGAGAAGAAGGAGCAATTTAATAGCAAGTGAACTCATTGTGCACTAGAAGGAGATAGTTATCAAGCGTTTGGATCGTGATTCTTGCATAGCATTGTTTCATATATATATATATATATATATATATATATAGAGTCCCTTAGTCATAGTTGACAATTATTAAATACAATTTGAGTTTAATACAAAGAAATAAAAAACCTAACATCCGTATATTGATTGAACGCGTACAATACATATATAAAATGTTCATATTTATTATATCCAACATCTTATACCTAGCTAGGTTCTCGAGTGTTAGATAAATTACATTTCCAATGTACTCAATCTCTGAATCCAGGGTAGAATGGATATTCCAAGAAATTGGTGCATGACTTTTCAATCACGGTCGCTACAGCGGCGACTTTTTGCTGCCGCTGAAAGTCAATTTTTTGGTAATGGTGGACTCTGAAAAATAATTAATCTTTACTTATGGGATATTAACAATTACGTATTTTTCCACATGCATTATATTTTTACTTTTTAAGATTGTTGTCTACTTCCAAGTCCTAAACCAGCGAACAGTCCACCCATAGGATTATGCTTGAGGATAACATTTGTCGTCAGTTTTTAGGTTTATGGAATTTAGATTCTCTTAATAAATGCTAATTAATTTTCACGATTAGGTGATTCAAGCAACTGCATTCTTGTTCTTGACGAAGAAATCAATGCCAAAAAAAAAAAATTCTAATCATTAAAAGCTTCATCTTTACAGATTTAAGAAATCTGTTAGTATCAGTTGAAAGTAATAAAAATATAAAAAATGTACTTTGCTTTTTCAAATATGCCCTTATTGATAAGAAGACAAGTGTGAGAGAGAAATAGTGAAGAAAAAAAAATGAAAGAGAAGGTATGCGAAAAGTATAATGCAAATAATTAAGAGTATTGGTAAAAATGTATTTAATATTCAGATGACCGCAAATTGTATCTTAAAAAAAAAAAAACTGGGCCAATTAAAAAATTTGGATGTTATAAAAAGAAGTGGAGGGAGTATAAAACTACGAAATTATGATAAGTAATTAACACTTATTGAGAAAAACCCAAATGCCGTTAAACGTAAAACAGGCAAAATTGTTCTACACTTCTACTGTAAAGTAATCCCATGCAGTGGACTGTTCCGTCAGTTTTGGACTTTTAAGTCGACAGCAATCTTAAAGTAAACACATCAAGCATGTGGAAAATACGTAATTCTTAATATCCAATGAGGTAGTTTTTTTTTTGAAGCAACTCCTTTTTTTTTTGGGTGAACTATTTTGGATCCGTAATTATTATATTTAAGATTAAATTGAAAGTCAAACTAACTTTTATATTAAATATTGAAAATACTTTTCCGATCTAAGAAAGTTAGATAAGTTAGTTAATTCTAAGAAATATGAAATATTTTTCATAAAACACCATAATCATTTTTCTTAATATCCTTCCTCCTTCACTTACTTTATTAAGATTGAGAGAGTATCCATAGGGGTAATTTAGAAAAAATCGATAAATATGAGAAATAGATTTTATATTTAGGACCAAATTTAACATAACAATTAGATCCTATATTAAGGACCGGTGGAATAGTATTTTTTTCATTCTTCTTTTATTTGCTCCGGATATAATAATTATGCTATATGCTGTGGACTGATTCCTTGGGTTCGGTGATCGGACTTATGGGGTGACAAACTCAATTATTTTTATATATTTTGGTATCTTTTATATGAGTTTTGTCAGCTTAATTAGTCCCTTTTTGCCTTAATTGATTTATTTTGTTTTATTTTGAATTATTATTTTATAGGGGCAAAATTGTCATGTTTTGATTTAATTATGATTAATTTATTTTAAGGACAATTAATGCTACCTTATCCTTGAATTTTGCTTGCAGGTTCTTGGAAGATTCAAAAATAAAAAATAAATAAAGAAAAAAAAGAAAAAGAAAAAAATTAAATTAAAAGAAAAAAATAATAATAATAAGTTGGGGGCAAAACGTTGCGTTTTGCCCCAACCTAATAATCATCATCTCTAGCGAACGGGGAGAGCGCGCCGAACACACACGAAAAAAAAACAGAGCACGCCGAACGGGAGGGAGAACGAACACACAGAAGCGGGCTGGACCAGGCGCGAGCGAGAGAGTCTTCCATCACCACCATCTTCGTCTTCGCTGAATCCTCCTGGTGGCAGAGAGGAGTGCGACAGCGAGAGGTGTGCACGAGCTGAGGGCGGAAGACGCAGTGAAACAGAAGCGAGCTGAGGGGCGGCGTGAAACATAGCAGACTAGCGACGGCGAATTCTTCCTTTCCACCGAATCACCATTATCACCGTCTTCTCCATGGCAGCCCATAGCAGAACATTGACTGTAGCATTCCTTATGGCAGTCCGTGGCTGAGGTTATGTGATTCTCTAATTCAACAATGATGGCAGGAGCTTGGATCATCAAAGGGGAGTTCTAGTTACTTTAATTTCTTACTCAATAATTGTTTAACAATTCCTAGGTCTTAGGATAGTTTTTCTGATTGTTGGGATAATTGTATTGCTTAATCTGATTATATTTGGGGATTATTGTGACTGAATTATTGCTTAGTATTTGACATTGGGCTGTTTATAGTTTTGATCTCAATTATAATGTTGTGGTTATGACATTTGTATTGATTTTGGAATTAATATATTGTGATTTTCTAAGGTGGCTTAGAATTTTGGATCATATAGTCTCTTACTAGCTTTAATTCTGTTATTTTGGATTTAAGAGTTCTAATTAAGCATTGGTTTTTAGCATCCTTAATCCCATTTTACTATTCTGGTTGCAGTTAGTAAGTTGGGATTTTAGGAAAATATTTTGTGGCAACTCGAGGTGGCTCGGTTGTTGGATCAAAAGCTTAATTATAATTCTTAATTCATTGTTTTTAACTCCCACATCTTTTAGAGTGATGATTGCCTGCGTTGTTGAATTAGAGGATTGATTTTTATCAGTGTTATTTGTGTGTCTCATTTTCATTTCTTTAATCTCCATTCATTTTAATCACTTTTATATAAAAACAAAAAAAAAGTATTTTAATTTCAATTTGATTCGTAGTATTTAATTAATAGCTTTTCAAAATCAAAAATCTCTTTTTATAGTTTAGGTTACTTGCATTCATTTACTAGGGTTTAATTTCGTTTTCGGCTCCTCAAAGTGAAACGACCCGAGTTTTGCACTATATTGCATTAATTCGGTTAATTTTTGGAGTAACCCCAAAGCGACAATTAAGGGAAGTTAAACTTCATGGGGACCGGTTTATTTTATTATCTACTTTCTCTTATCACAATATAAGTCACTTTAATTGAATTTTTTTTTTTTTTGCCAACCACTTTATCTAATTTATCAGAATTAATAGATGATAGTTAACTTATTAAATCTATTTCAAATTAATGTTTTACAATTTTATCCATGTAAATGAGGTTGTGAAGGAAAGAAAAAAAAACATTAATTGCGGGAACAAAATTAACAATCTTTCAAGTGACTTATATTCTGGGCTGGAAGGAAGTATTAATCAAATACATGAAATTAATATCCAACCCGTCACCAAAGGATGCTATGAAGTAGTCCGTCGGTTTGGGACTCTGAGCATTTTATAATTGTTTCCTTACATATTACTTTTTTGTTTTGCCATGAATATTTGTTTGAAAAGGATCTTAATAATTACTATTTCAATTAACTGATTGAGATTTGTTGGGGATTTATTAATTTTTACTGTCATGTGTTCTCTTGTACCAATTTATAAATATGACATTTATATAAGTATTGCTATAATAATAAATGATGTGCGAATATATCGATGTAGTCGAAATAATCCACCCAACATTTTTTTGGTTGATTACTTCACAAAATCCAATAATCGATGATGGACTAGTCCTAAAACCTCAGGATTTATGGATAAATTTAAAGGGAATGTCTATTGTTGATTTAAGAGATGCGTGTAGGAAAATTACAGTACTCATAGGCTATCATTAGGAGCATGACAAAGAGAGGCCATATTATCTCTTATCCTTAATATAAAAGCTAGTTGACTAATTTGAGTAGATTAAGAAAGTTTAAGTATTTGCAATAAATTGATGTTGTCTTTCATAAAAAATCCTTATTAATCAAGTGTATTAGCTATAACTACTATTTGATGAAACTATTAACACGTGCAACTATTACAAAGACTACTTTTGAAAAAATAGATAAATATGAGAGACAAAGTGGATTGGGGTTCTTGTATTAAATATCAGAGGCAGTATAACTCAAAACAGAGTTTCTCCGTAACTTGGTTTGTCATTTTTATTTTTTTGATTTTGATTGATTTCCAACTCACTTTTGGTTTTCCTTAATTAAATTAATTATGGCCCCGATTTTGCATTAAGAAAATTACTCCTCTGGTCCTAAATATAAGACCCTTATACTAGTGTGTATGCGTGTCTTATATTTAGGACCGGAGGAGTATTTCAATGATAGCTTTCATCCGAGCAATACACTGTCTTCCATTTTGAAGATAAAAGTTTGAACCACATAGAAACTTTTATTCATACTTGGGCTTACATAAGTTTTATTTAAAGGAAAATCATTTTCCATTTATTCATGCCCAATCCTTGGCTTTATTTACTACTACTGGTCTTCACATAAAGGATGCAAACTTCAAAGCTTCTTGCTTTCATTGGGAAAGAACCAGAGCAATTTATGTTACATACTCCTTGAGTAGTCCCAGTGTTTCTTTTCACCAAAATGTAACCACATTGTCCCCAAGAAGGTCCCCATGAGTTTTTGACAATCCAATAATCTTGATTTGTACCCGACGAACCATATCCCACGACTAATACAGCATGATTATGATAACATGACGAAATGTTTGCGCAATCATCCCCGCTAAAGATTCCCTGCCCAAAAAAAAAAAAGAAATTAAACAACCACTTGTCAAATATATCACAAGGAATTAAGAGTCATGCAACATACATACATACACACATATATATATAGCTTGTTTAGTTAATGTATGAGTTTGGGTAATTAG